CCAATTTTGTCATGCGTGATAGATGCACATTTACACGAAAGACAGAACTACCCAGTGGTTGAATAACAGGAATGCGTCTATGCTGACATATTCTTTTGCCAGCTATAGTTAAATTACATAAATCACATATTGATATATAAACTGGAAAGGCCCAACAAATGTACACTATTCATCTTATCATGTGCCCTGAATAAATAAGATACAATATAACTTACAGACTTCTTCAGAATGTTCTTATTAAAAGACCATGCTAATTTCAACTAACATAAAATTGGATTACAGAAAAATGAGTCTTGAGATACAATTCTACCTGGAGGCAGAAACAAATAAGATTCTGGAGTACATATCAGTTGTTCAGAAAGAATACAAACTTTCTTTTTGAAAAAAGTCTTTAGGTAATTATTCAGTAACTATTATGAAGTTATTAGAATCGCAGAGAAGCAAATGATTTTTATTCCACCACTAGGTGGAATTAGAATATTATTGTAACTGCAATACTCAAAAAAGACTAAACAAAGGAAGCAGAGAAAAGCTAGCAAGCAAAACTACATTCCAGGGTAGCAGAACCAAGATACAGAGAAGCGACAGGCCCAACCGACTGGGATCAAATCCAGACCTACTATCTACCAGCTGTATGACGCTGGAGAAGCTACCATCTACCTACTGTATGAGCCCGGACAAGCTACCGTCTACCGGCTGTGTGAGCCTGGACAAGCTACCGTCTACCGGCTATGTGAGCCTGGACAAGCTACTGTGCTTCAGTTTCTTCATCTGTGAACACAGGGAAGTAACAACACCTACCTATAAAGTTTTTGTGAGGATTAAATGAGTTCATACAAGCTATTAAACTAATGAACTCAACAATTTTGGCTATTAATATTATTACTAAGCTGTCAATTAAGAGGATTCTGGACAAAAGTTATAAATTTTAAAATCCAGAAATACTTGTTAAATTAGAATTTAGCCCAAAAGTCACAGAAGGATATGGGCTGAAGCATACAGAAGAGAGAAATCACACTCACAGAATTAGAGTGCGGGTGTACACACTGCCTCGGAGCAGAGATGGTCAGGGCGGGAAGGAGTCAGAATTCACAGGATGAGGTTTGAGAGGATTAGAGAAGAATCAGAACACAGAACTCAGATCTGGACCCAAAACAAGAAAAAAAACGCAAAAGGTTTATTGTGCCAATATGAAGTATACAACTTATTTTGGGGTGATAGCTCCAAACAAAACTAACCAACTGGCTACTATATGCTAAACACCGTTAGGCCCTCTAAAAAGCATGTCCTCAGGGCTGGCCTGGTTGCAAAGAGGTTAGGTTCACGCACTCTGCTTCAGCGGCCCAGGGTTCACAGGTTCGGATCCCAGGCACAGACCTACACCCCCTCGTCAAGCCACGCTGTGGAGGCATCCCACATAAAACAGAGGAAGATTGGCACAGACAGCTCAGTGACAATCCTCCTCAAGCAAAAAGAGGAAAGCTGGCAGCAGATTTTAGCACAGAGCCAATCTTCCCCACAAAAAAAAAAGCTTGTCCTCGTTGGTATGATGTCTGGAATTTGCTTTAAAACAATCTAGACAGAGGACAGGGGAGGAAAGTAGGGGTACAGATAAAATAAGACTGTTTAATTTGATAATGGTTAAAGTCTGGTGATGAGGACACGGATGGTCATTTTACTACTCTCTATTTATGTTTCTGTAAATTTTCCATGATTTTAAAAATTATTTACTCTACATAATGCGAGAGTAAGTGGGGTTGGGGTGTGTCTGTGCATTTTGAGTGAATGTGGAGTTAACCTCTGCAGAACACAAAGGATCTCTATGTAACCCTCCAAACAAGACAGACACAAGCCACCAACTGTAAGAACCCTGCAGGGGGGAGAGAATGCATTGGCCAAGCTGGAAATACTGACCAGGAGGTGCAGTTTCAGAGGAGAGGAGAAGGAAAAATATAAGCAAGGAGAAATGTGAACAGAACAGAACAAGGTGGGAGGAAAAAGCAGCAAACAAATGGCAGGAAAATCTATTTCTCAAGGAAAGGGGAAGGACTGGTATTTCATGAGTGGTTAGTGTGCTCTAAGACCTGCTGTTAGGTATTTACATCCTTATCTCATATAATCCTCACAGCAAATCTGTGATGTGGGTGCTACTATCCTCAATTTAAGAAGAGGAAATAAAAGCTCGCAAAGGTCAAGTAACACACAAACCACCGTGCAGATACTAAACGACAGAAGCCAGACTCAAAACCTCTTGCCCAAGCCTAACAGTCCTTGCAGTACACAACAATGCTCTTCCCCAAGCAGCTACCTTAAACATACAGCAAAACAAATAGCTGTGTCTGAAGTACGCGGATTATGAAAAGGGGAAGGAAAACACAATCTAAGAAGGGAGAGAGACAAGAGAACCGACCTGACTTTGTTATACAGCACATGCAGGTGGTTAGGGCACTTTAGGGAAGCTGCATGGGGAAGAGAGGAAATTAAACTGGAGACTGGACGAGGCGCTAGCCAGGCAAGGTGCGAACAATATTTTGGGGGAGGAAATAGCAAGAAGAGATCCATAGAGATAAAAGAGGAGACAATGAATTAATGTCAGTATTCCTTTGCTGATGTAACAAGTATTGACTGAGGCCTATTCTACACCAAGAACCATGCACAGTAATCAAAGAGAATAGATCCTCCCTTCAAGGAGCATACGATTCAGGAGACAGACATCCAAAGAATTACACACTGGGAAGTGCTGTGAAGGAAAAGTATAGCATGTTATGATAGCATCTAAAATGGGGACCTCCCTAGGAAGAGCAGGACGATTAGAGAGAGCTTCCCTGGAAAAGCGACCTTTAAACTAAAACCTGAAGATTGAGTGCCATTAACCAGGTGTGTGGATGATCGGGGAGACAACTCAGGCCAAGCGAGTAGCAGATACAGAGACTTTGAGACAGGAGAGAACAAGGTAGAGAACTAAAAGAAAACCAGCGTGGCTAGAGTTTCAACACGAAGGAGAAGGTGGGAAAGGAGGTGGGGAAATCGGCAGGCGATCACACATGGTCTTAAGACAACATTAAAGATTTCAGAGTTTGTCCCAGAAGCAAAGGGAAGCCAGTGAGGGTTTTTGATCAAGGGAGTGATAAAATAAGAACTGCATTTTGAAAGCATCTATTCTCAAGGGTTCTGAACTTTAAGTCCACAGGTACCAAAGGGTCTGTGCATAGAATCCAGGACCCCATGAACTTGGATGATGGGGGAAAATCTTTACTTTTCACAAACCTCTACAGAAGACTTAGCATTTCCTTTCATTGTGACTATAGGCCCCTTAACTTTCTTACCAATAGAGATTTCAAATATGTTCACATCATATTTCAGTTATTGCAAAATCTCAAAATAATGGTGTTATCCCTCATAACGTCATTACTTTAAAATCACAGAAGCTTTTGGAAGCATTGCTAGATCTTGTTATTTAATACATTAATAATGAAGCACATATATTACGATATCACAAGATGTTTAAAATAGTATTTTGATAACATAGTTGGTTTCCTTTGTAGTTGTATACTTAAAAATGTTATTCTCAGGAGTCCAAAGGTTTCACCAAAACTGCCAAGTGGTACATGTCATAAAAAAAGTTTAAGAGTCCCTGCAGAAGGGAGAAAACAGAGGCGGGAGAAGGGCAGAGAGACGGTGGAGAAACAAGCACCCAGGGAAGGTGATGGGAGCTTAAATGAGGACAGCAGCAGGGCTGCCGGGAGAAGGAGATCAACCTGAAAAGTATTCAGCAGGTAAAATTGACATTAGAGACTCTTTTCGAGTGTAACTTTCAAAGAATACTTAGTGTTATAAAAATGTTTACAATATAATGATAAATCAAAAACGCAGAGTCTAAAACTATTCATACAGTATGATGATTAAAATTCTACCGTGCATAGAAAAGACTGGAATAATAGAAAGTATTTTAAATGCTAAACATGGTTATCACTGAGTAATGAACACTATTAAAAATGTTTATTTTTTCCTTAGGACTCTTCTAAATTTTTCCATATTTTGTAAAATGACTACCAGAAAAAAACAAGCATAATTTTAGTTATTTTGGGGAAAATTTTAATGACATGGGAAAATGTGTATGCTATGTTTTAAAGTGAAAAGTATATAAAATTGTACATATAGTATGATTTGAGACCATATGTATACCTATAGGGAAATTATGGGTGATTTCTATATACTGTCAGATTTTCCATGTTTTCTACAGGAACACAGCACTTTTATAAATTACAGTATTTTTAAAGGGCACAAGTGGATGGATCAGCTTTGGACAGAAGGAAAGACTGTACTATTTAAAATGAGAAGAAAGAACAAAGGACTGAAGTGGACTGAGTTTGCTGGTGGGGAGAGGACACTGGGGAGTCAGACGTGCAGGACCCTACAGACTCAGCAAGGCGGCGGCCAGGACACCCACAGCAAGCCCAGGGGCTGGGAGGCCCGGCAACACGGGAACAAGCGTGCAGGTCTAGGGACAGAGAACTGTCAGGCAGCACACCAGGCTCACCTGAGAGCCTCAGGGAGAAGGAAATGGATGGAGTAGTATTGTTAACCTTTGTAAACCATGTGTGGAGCGTCTCAAAATATCAGGTCCCCTCCCCTGACTGAGTTCGTCCAAGCAGAGGCCCGGGAATCTGCATTTTCAGTGTGAGAGCACTTCAGGCGAGCACAGACCATGCTTTGGGAAACACTGGCTTAGAGTCTGGCCTGAAAACAAAGGACAAATCTATCGATATAGAAATTCTTTTCAGGATCTCTGACTCCCATCATTCCGACTTACACAGGGAGTCTAAATGTTAATACTTTTGCTTTGTTTTTGTTTATTTTGTTTTAGAATTTCAGAAGAATAAAAATCAGCTTAGAAAGACAGGTAAGAAAAGAGTAGCAAAGACAAGACACACCAACAGTCAAAAAATGTACTATTATCTGCATCAGAGAACTCCAGGCCAAACTACTCACCACCTTACCTTGAGCAGGAGAGCAAAATTACTCTGCAGAGAGGCAGTCACACCATTCTCATACAATTTTTTCCTCATGTGGTTTTCACTCACGTTCCCACCAGTAGACTGATACCTTAATAATGACTTCAGCATGGTTTCAAAAGGGTCCGCTGAAACAGACAAATTAACGTTTCTAAATCAAAGCATTAAATCAAAATAAAAACTCTCCAACAAAAGAACAAAGAGACGAGGAGGTATGGGATTGTCGCTGAGAGCACGCAGCTCTTTCCACAATTCCCTTATCTGTCTTTCCCAAATATGATCAGTTCAAGAGGCAATAAAACTTGGCAAGAAGACACGGCTCATCAGGCCACATTGAGGGGGCGCCCCACACAGCACAGCCAGAAGGACCTACAACTAGAAGACACAACTAGGTACTGAGGGAGCTGTGGGGAGAAGAAGAAAAAGAAAAAAGAGTGGCAACAGATGTTAGCACAGGTGCCAATCTTTAAAAAAAAAAAACCAACTTGGCAAGAATACAATATCCTGACTGGGAAATCCACTATAAATCATTATTACTTACATAAATTTTCTATCTACATATCAACAATCTTTGATTTTTTTAAAAAAAGCTCATTCCACTGACTTTAAATCAAAATTGATGTTTGTGTATAATCATCAAGCATTACACCTAAAATTATGTAGCTGAGTTCAAAAATTTCCTTTCTTTTCTCCTTCATTCATTTTCAAGTGTTTCTTTAATGACTATACCGTCTTCACACACAAAAAATACACCGTCACTGTAAACCAAACAACACGTTAAAATACAAAGAACAAAATTCACCTAACTCCCACCATACAGAGACACTCACTTTTAGAGATTTATTAACAACTGTTAACATTTTTCATTCTGAGAAAGATTAGCTCTGAGCTAACTACTGCCAATCCTCCTCTTTTTGCTGAGGAAGACTGGCCCTGAGCTAACATCTGTGCCAATCTTCCTCTACTTTATATGTGGGACGCCTGCCACAGCATGGCTTCTGCCAAGCTGTGCCATGTCAGCACCCGGGATCCAAACCAGCGAACTTCGGGCCGCCCAGAAGCAAAACGGGCGCACTTAACCACTGCGCCACCGGGCCGGCCCATGTTAACATTTCTTAACAGAGAGAGACAGACAAAAATCTGTCAGATTTCGCAAAGAACTGCAGCCCTTTCTCTCAGAGCGCTTCCCTCAGTTCACCGGTGTGATCATTGAATACTGTTTGCACGCTTCCCCACTCCCCAACACTAGACCATAAACAGCAAGGGGCAGAGACCACGCCTGGTTTGACTCATCACTGTGTTTCCTGACAGCAGCATCCTTCCACGTTGTGGAAAGCTTAGTGACTAAGAGCAGGAACTCAACCCAGACTGCCTGGCTTCACTCCGGCTCCATCACCAAGCAATGGTGTGACTCTGGGCAAACAACAAGCTCTCTGTACCTCAGCTCTCTCTTCTGCAAAAGGCAGACAATCATAATACCTACTTCACAAGGTTGCTCTGAGGATTAAGTGAGTTAATATTTGTAGAGGGCTTACAATAGTGCTGACATGTAGTAATTGCTATACAATGATTTGATAAACAAAATAAACTGTCTCTATCATTATATTAAGGTCTGAATGTACTCTTTTATTCAGCCATTGATAAATATTTAAGTTTGTTTCAAATTTTTATTATAAATAATACTAATATGTCTTTTCTCATTTATGTGATTACCAATTTATGATAAATTCCTTAAGATATTATTGGTAAGTCAAGGGTCACTGCCAATCTTCTCTCCAGAAAGTCTGTAAAACCTTTACACTCTATGTTTCTCCACTCCCTCATCAACGAGTTTTGCCAACATTTTTCATCTCTTCTAGTCAGAGAGTTAAAAATCTCATTTTTATTTGCATCCCACTGATTAGTGAGGTTGAAATCTTTTCATTTGCTTATTGGTCATTTGTATTTCTTCTTTCTTAATTACCTTTTTTGTCTATTTTTCTACAACTGCATTTTCTTTTTATTGAATTGCTAGTTTTTATTTACTTTATATATATGGGTGGTAAACAGTTTCCCCATTTCTCTTTTAAACTTCTTCATGGTGCCTTTTTATTTCACAGAAATCTAGTAATCGTTACTACACATTATGTTAGTAATACGCGGCCAACATTTTCCCATCTCTCTCTTTTACATCCTTTTTTAAGGTGTTTTTTATTGTACTGAAATTTTTCATTTTTATGGAGACAGATTTACTCATCTCGTGCTTGATGGCTTTTAGATCTCACGTCACTCTAAGAAACTCAAAACTTTAATATTTAACCATGTTTTCTTCTACTACTTTTATGACTCCAAATTTTAATCATTTGGAATTTATTTTGATATAAAGAGTAAGACAGGGATTAAGACTTATTTTTTCCAAATAGCTAACCAGTTTCCCCAAAACCATTCATTATCTTTCTCCTTTATCATCAAAGGCTATCTTTATTGTTTCTGCTTGGTGTATGTACCAGACTACCTACTCTGTTCCATCAGTCTGTCTAGTCCTGACACAGTACAAGATTCCTTAAATTAATCTAGCTCTATAATCCACCGTTCTATCTGATGGTGCCAGTCTTCCCCTCACTAATATTCTTTTCTAGATGTTTCTTAGCTGCTCTTGTACCTTTACTCTTCCAGATAAACCCTGCAACTATTTTTTCAGGTTCCCAAAAAAATCTTCTTGGAATTTACATTGGGATTTTATTGTATAGATCTATAAATTGAATGAAAAAATAACCATTTTACTATACTCTGTCTTAAAGAGGTAATAAATACAAAAACTTCAACAGAATGCCTGGCACGTAGCAGAAAGCATTCAATACATGTTAGCTATTCCCATCCAAGAGCAATGCATGGGTCTTCATTTACAGACTTCTATTCTTAAAAGATAAGGATCAGCTAACAAGAAAGAAAAGTAAACTTACACGTCTTATTAGGGTTGATATGCTGCTTCAGGACATCGACAGTGCCCAAACTAACCACAAGGCGCCTGCCGAACCAGAAAGAGACCACAGGCCCATATCGCTCATGCAAATGCACCAGGAACTCGTGCAAACTTCCACTGTTCACGATATCAGGAAGATTACCATCTCTGAGAAAAGAGCAACATTTGACAAAATAATCAATTTAACTTGGAAAAACCAGAAAAACAACAGCTGATTCTGAATTAACTATGTCAATAGATGAGACCAAAGGTACATGAAACTCAAATTACTGCAAAATCCAAAACTCAATATATTTGACTTCTTGCTTTCTGTAGTTATATTTAGATACAGATTTGTCTGGTATTTTGACAATTCATAACACTTCAAGCCAAATAAGAAAGCTACACAAGGAACATCTTTGACCTAGACACTGGAAAACTATCCAATTTTTGCAGCACCTCATTTTGAGATAGCAATGTACATCTTTGGCTGATTTAAATCAGATCACCTATGGCAATTTTTTCTTCTTTCCTCTTTTTTTTTTTTTGGTGGGGGTGAGGAAGATTGGCCCTGAGCTAACATCTGTGCCAATCTTCCTGTATTGTACATGGGACACCACCACAGCACAGCTTGATGAGTGGTGTGTACGTCCACACCCAGGATACAAACTCAGGGCTGCCAAAGCAGAGTGCATGAACTTAACCACAACACCACCGGGGCAGCCCCTTCTTTCCTTCTATCTTAATCCTGTTTCTCTAGGGGAAGTGAAAGCAATTAAAGGTTTTGATTTATAACAACCCTCCTTTCTGTTCTTAACAAAGTTTAGATTGTATGCCCAGAGATAAATTTAGAGTAAAAAAGGAATTAAATAAGCTGAGTGATCTAAAAACATGGTTTAGTTTTGATACCAAAAATTATCAAAACTAAAAAAATTAAGAGTTGACTCTACTTGATTCCAAAAAAATAATTACTCACTTTTCTTCCGTTGGTGGAACCCCCGGAATTCCTGCAGCTTGTCTGGACGCCTTAAGAAAAAATTTTAAATTAGTTTAGTGTAACGAATTATCATATATAGCCCATAAGTCAGACGTGTTTTGCCAAGACTTCCGCAGGACCTTAAATGATAGCTTTCCAATTAGGTTAAATCTCAGGAATTATTGCTATATTAAATACAAAACCTGAGTTCTTTGTATTGAAAAGAATTATCTTAATATTCTTCCTCTATGTTAACTAAACTAAGTGTCTGAAGAATTTACTATCCATTCTACATCAATTAATATATAATCAAGAATATTTTTCTTTGTTATGAGTCTATATATGGTCCCATCTGGCTTGGCTCAAAAAATAAAAAAGTCATGTTTATCATAGTTTCATTCGTAATAAAGTTCACCTCTTTCTACTCAAAGAATTTACCAAAATACAACATGATATTCGTCTTTTGCTTTAACACAATCACTATTCCTCAGGTTCATACAGTCAGTGAGGTATCTGGTTTAAAAATAAATAACAAAATAATTCATAGCAAATTGTTAAAGTAACAACCTCTAAGGAATGAACTGGGGAAAAGTTTGGGGAATTTTAATTTTCACAATTTTGTACTACATTTACGGTTGCTGTGTTTTGGGGTCAGCATTATTTTTTATTTTACAACAGGCATACTACTTTTATAATAAGACTTTTATAAAATAATTTTTAAATTAACTATTTACAGGAAAAATAACCTAAAATATTCAACTCCAGAATCAATTCTGAATTTTGTCAATGATTTTGACTAGCATCTATCACAGTTTATCTACCTAGCATTCTGACCTTTTTTCTACTTAACATTATATAAATGAATACATATTTATTTATTTATTTGACCATTTAAAGGCTAAACTGAGTTACATCATGTAGTTGGAAGTGCTTATTCATTTTCCTTCTATACTGCTGTAAAATATCTGGGCTATTTCTTTTCTTTCTCTTGTTTTTTCATTATTATAAGTAATGCCACGAAAATCTTTGTACAGTTTACTTTTTTCCTCCTTTGGAATATATATGCCAAAAGATAAATACCAGGGTTTTGCCGGTTTGGATCCTGGGTGCAGACATGGCAGTGCTCATCAGGCCACATTGAGGCAGCATCCCACATGCCACAACTAGAAGGACCCACAACTAAAAATACACAACTATGTACCGGGGGGCTTTGGGGAGAAAAAGGGAAAATAAAATCTTAAAAAAAAAAAGAAAAAGATAAAGTCAACGGTATAAAAAAATCCTACCTTTTACTTTCTAGGCTGAAATTATTACTGACTGAAACAAGCTTCCTGATTTCTCTTTAAACATGGTAGATTGATAACATTTATTATCTCTTCCTCCTGAAATTCTGTTAGAATGAAAGTAAAGGGATAAGAAAGGAGGAAACAAGGATAAAGAGAATGGGAGAGGAGACAACAGTGGATGAACAATTCAATCAACTTTTCAAAAGAGTTAGCGGTTGGAGTGATTGACTGACATGGTTCAGAGGCCTGCTCTGTGGGCCTGCAGACGAGGATTCCCACAAGAAGCAATCAGATTTGCCCTCAGTAACTAGAAAGGCAGGATAAGACACAAGGCTTTAACAATTAGTAAAATGTCAGTATAGAGATCCCTCAGACACCCTAGGTGTCCTTCTCCATTCCTGTGATTACCTTCCTTTCGGAAAGAGACCTTAAGATTCAAGAACAGGCTGAGGGGTGGCAACCCCTGCAACCCTAAGGGAAAATTATTTCCAACCTAGAATTTTATACTGACCCAAACTATGACTCAAGCGTGAAGCTAGAACAGAAACATTTTCAAATGAGGAAGGTTTCGTTAAGTGTATTTTCCATGCACTTTCTTAGGAAGCTATCGGAAAATGACGCTCTACAGCAAACAAAGGAAGTGAAAGAAAAAAAGAAGAGAATCATGTGGATCCAGGAAACAGGGTACACAACCTGGTGAAGGGCAATAAATACCACAATGAGAGTAAAAGGGCAAGAGCCACGCAGTGAACACGATGGTCACCAGCACTGACTGCGGAAGGATGATGGAGAGCTCCAGAAAGAACAGCTTCACAGGAAAGAAAACGCAACTGAAGTCTTTGAATATTTGAACAACTGCACTGAGCAGCTATGACAGAAATGTTGAAATATTTGGAATACACTGCTGACAAGTAGCAGTGAATAAGCTCTGACAAAGTGCAAAGTCCACCCCTAGCGCTTCGGCAGCTCCCCCAGGCGCAGGAAGAGGGAGCCTTAGGAGTCTGTGCGCTCTGAGGACAACGGCTCCTACACCCACCTCCACACTCCATTAGCAGAAACCAAGAGGGCGCCCCAGAAGCCCAGGTGAAATGTGCTCCTGCCCTTTACTAGATCCACATCTCCCAAATAACCAAAAGGATGAGAGGGATCCCAAGTTGCCATGCACCTGGGAAGACCCCGCAAAACTTCAATCTTCCTGATAATCGTAGCCTCGCCGCTACCATCTGCCTTGAGACTATCCAGAATAATGTTATTATGACCTTTTCTCTAACTTAAATTAGACACCACACGATGCCCAGGACTACCATCCCCAGGTCTTCCATCACCCCCGCGACTTCTATTCCTACAAGTTAATCCTCTTTCCTGAGCCATCTCTCAGCCACTCATCCCCATGGTCGTACACTAGATCTGGACATTGCCAATAACTTCAACATCTCAAGAGTTTTAACATCAAGCACCCAAATCTCCAAGCACCTCCTATCTTTCCTTCTCACTACTTTTAGTATCTTGCCTCTAAAAACTATTTTTACCCCAAAAAGACCTGTAACCCAACCCACTCATATACTCATTTTCCACTTTACCCAGGTTAGATTCCATGGCCAGTCATTATAACCACTCCTTTGCCCTGTATCCTTTCGTCATAATCATGTAGCAAAGCACCAATTCTAATTAAATCCAACCTTCTGTCAACCGCCCCTGGACCCACACAGCTCAAGAGAAACAAAGCCAGGCTGACTAGTCTTATTTTAATTTCATGAACTTCAAGTGAGCTGCCTGGAAATCACACTTCCCTAGGCCATCACTCTCCTAATCTTCTAGATAGATGGCTATTTCACTCCTCCTCTCTCTTCAAATCCCTATCCTCACCAGTAACTGACAATCTTGCTTCTATTTCATTGAAAAAATGAAGGCCATCAGGAGCTAATGGCCATACCACAGTGACCTATCTGCCTACATTTTGCCCATATCCCCCACCTTCCCTCTCACTAGGGATGAAGTGTCTGTGCTCCAAATGAAATGTACCCCCATCCCTCCACGCCTGCACTGGACCCCATCCCCTCCCACCTACTCCAGAAAATTGGTCCAGCAATTCTCTCCTCTGTTCTTACAGCATCAGTTTTCCCCTCCGGACTTGACAGTCCTCATCAGCATATGAACACAATGTCATTTCTCCCACCTTAAAAAATTTCCTTTACCTTGCTTCCCTTTTCAGTTCCCAGTCCCGCTTCCAGCAAAACTCTAAAGAGTTGTCTATACTGGATATCTCTGAACCCACTCCATTTAGGTTTATTACCACCACCATTCCACTGAAACTGCTCTTATTAAGATTATCAGTACTACGAAATTCTCAGGTCTTAACTTGACATACTGCAACATCTGACTTGGCTGATTACTCTCTTCTGCATAAAACACTTGGCTTCCTTCTATTTACCTGGCTGCTCCTTCTCAGTCTCCTTTGCCGGCTCTTCTTCCTCAACTTCTCGACATTGGAGAATCCAGGGCTTGGTCCTTGGGCCTCTTCTCTCCTGTACCACACTCTCCGGGAGATGGCAACTAGTCTCCCAGCTTTAAATACCATCTATACACTGACAGCACCCAAATTTATATCTCCAGCCTGGACTTTTTTCTTAAACTCAAGACTTATATATCCAGTTCACCATCTCCACCTGGATGTCTAAGAGGCATCTCAAATCTGGCGCATCCAAAAAGAAATTCCTAATCTCTGTGAAGCCCAATACCTGCCACCAAAATAAAACTAAACAAAAACAACAGCAAAGCCCTTATGTTCCCTGGAGTCAATTCATCCTTCCAGCTACTAAGGCTAAAAAGTTTGATGTTCTCCTCGATGCCTCTCTTCTCTCACATTTCACATCCAATCCACTGGGAAATCCCACTGGCTTTATCTTCACAATGGACCAGTTCTCAGCATCTCTGCTACCATAACCTTGGTCCAAGCCAACACCATCTGACACAGAAACTGTTACAACCTCCTAACTACTCTGCCTGTTTCCATCCCTGCCCCAGGGATGTCTATTCTTTTAACATAGTAGCCAAAATGATTCTTCTAAAATTTAACTAACAAAATTAAATTCCCTTAAACTTAAATGTCACTCTTCTGTTGAAACTCTCCAGTGGCTAACCTCAGAGTCAAAGCCAAGTCCACAAGATGGCCTACAACTAAGGTCCGCCCTTCCTCCCCATCATCTGACTTGATCTTTGTGACCGGTCTCTTCCTGGCTCCCTCCACTCCAGCCACACTGGTCCCCTCGTTTTCCTGGAACACACCAGGCATGCTTCCCCCCGAAGATGTGCACTTGCTGTTCTCTTTGCCTGGAATGCCTCCCCAAATATGTGAACGACTTGCTTCTTCACCTCCTTCCCGTCTCTGCTCAAATTTGTCATCTCTTGACCATCCTACTTTAAAATAACAATCCTGCCTACCCCCAGCTCTACTTCGCTCCATAACACTTCACACGAACATTCTACATATGTCATCTGTTTACACTGTTTCCCCTCGCCAGAATATAAATTCCATGAGTCAGGAATCTCGTGTCTGGTTTGTTCGCTGCTGTTTTCCCAGCACGCGGAACCGTGTCCGGCACGTAATCGGTTGAAAGAATACAGCGTTGCTTCTATTAGCTAATCAAAGGTCAGTCTCATTTAAAGATGATCAAAGATTCAAGACCTGAGGCCACTAAATGTGTAGTTTCTCAGAAAAACAGACACACTGAAAGCTCCAGACTGCAGGGGCAAGATTCCGGGCTGATGCGCGCACCAGCTCCGAGGGCGCGCTTCAGGAGGAGTTCCGCCGCCACCAGCGACGTGCCTGGAGGTGGTCGGCTACACTCCGACTTTACCAGAAGCACCACCCCGCTTCGCGCGCGACACGTCCAGAGGCGACTCCTCCCGGGTCAGCTCCGCGATCCCGGAAAGGCCACGCGCCCCACCCCGCCTGAGAGCCCCCAGGGGTCTGCTGTACCCTCAGGACTCGGGTTCCGGCGGGGACAGCTCGGAAGACGCACGGAAAGGCAGACGGCACAGAAACGCCGGGACAATCCTCGAGAAGGGGGAAGGGAGAACGGAGCAGGGCGCCCTGGAGCGTCCCCCCAGACCCGCTAAGGACCGGAGGTCAGGGTCTGCAGCGACTGCCGAAGAGCTGCCTACTGTCCCTCAGAGCCTCGGGGCCGCGGGGGCGTGGCGACGCTGGACCCGGAGGCCCCGCCCCCAGCCCGCAGCCCCCGCAGCCGCGCAGGCGCCCCGCAGCGGAGCCGTCCGCCCCTCCTCCAAGCGGGCCGTGCGCGCGCCCGGGGCGCGTCACGTGCTCCAGGAGCCGGGCCCGCGCGGGCGGGGGCTGCGGCGGGAGGACCGGGGCTGCGGCGGGAGGACCGGGGCTGCGGCGGCGCCGACGCCCTGAGGGCGGAGCGCGTGCTTACCGGGTAGAGGTAGAGCACCGCTCCCACCAGCGCCAGCAAGAAGGTGACGGCGAAGATGGCGAAGTCCAGCATGGCCTCCCGCCCGGAGCCACGGCTCGGATTCCCTCTCGGGCAGCGGCGCCTCAGCCGGGCTGGCCCCGGGCAGGGACGGGGGCGGGGCGTCCGGCCCCGCGAGCCAATGGGCCGCTGGGGGCGTCCCCGCGGCGGGGAGAGCAGAGGAGCGCCCGAGCGGGAGGGGGCTGCGGTGGCCACGACTGCGGACACGTCCCGGGCGCGGGGCCCAGGCTTCGGAAGGACGTTAGGAGCTGCCGCCGCTCTGCGCCGACCAACACTCTTCCAGTGGATTTAGGGTCAAAACTTCTAAACCAGTGGTTGTCAAGTGGACCAGCAGCAGCAGCATCACCCGAGAACGTACTAGAAATGCAGATTCTCCATCCCACCGCAGACCTGCAGAATCAGACGCTCCGGGAGGGAGGGGGACAGCAATCTGCGTTTTAACAAAGCCGGTCCACGCAGTGAGCACCACCGACCTGAGCTAACCCGGCAAGCGTCTGAGTCAAGCACCGTTAGACGGCCCTTGTTTCGCAAAAGAATTTATACTTGAAGCGCTAGTAAATGTGATTCCTTGACCCCTTGTGTGCAGGCAGCGGAGTGCTCAGTGGTGGATAAGATTTCCTGGCTCCGCTAGAGATGCAGTAAATCGACTGAATTTTCTAAGCTTCCGTTTCCTCCTATATGAAACAATCGAAATAATACCACACAGAGTTGCCTGTAGGATTAAATTAGATAATTTATGAAAAGTACTTAGCACAGCTCCTGTTAGAATTAGTTGTTCTGAGCATAAGAATACTCTAGAATCCCTCTTCTGTTTCACATGACTCAGAAGTTTTGACGTGAATAATGTAAGGCAACTTACTGGTGCTTCATTTAGTGAAAGCGTCCTAATAGTAATTATAGATTTTGTAGCTTTAATAATACAAAGTGTCAAAAAAAAAGCAACAACTCAGCAAGAGAAATCATTCTAGATTTCATTTTAGAGCTTCTATGATAAATGACATTAGGTAATTATGAAACATATCTCATTGACAATGCCAAATGTTTTGGCATCTATAGCAAATAAAACACTGCTATTTTATCTTTAATTTAGCAGAAATTGTAATTTTAACTCTAGTTCCCTGCGTATAGATGTGTTTCAAAGGTTCATTTTTAAATCTGTTTCGAATTTTAAATACATTTCCCGTCGAAATCATGTTCCAAATAGGGTTTCAATACAGAAAACGTCAGATTTTTAAATGCCTAACGTAGCTACATAACAGTAACCCTAGGCACCAATCCTCGAGGATAGATACAGGCCTCCCATTTTAGTCCTATAGCTTCAGATCCTCAGAATTTTCAGAGTCTGTGAAAAAGAGACAAAAATTGCAGAGGTTGAGCAGGGCACAGTATTTTAGAGATTAAGTCTCTAAAACTGTACAACTACCTGCTCTTCTTGTGTTCTTCAAACTTTAGCCCAGATACTCCCTAAAAGTATTTTGAAAAGCCATGCATCCATATACTTTCACACTTTTTTTGTGTTGACATCTAAAATTTTTATGTTGACCTTAAAGGATTAGATTTCTGGTATATTGTAAATATCACATCTTAAAATTGTTCTCTCTCTCTTTTAAATGTTTATAAAGGAATTTAAATACCATAGTGATATGACGACTGTCATCAAGCTTTTGTTGTTGTTACTGAGGAAGATTAGCCCTGAGCTAACATCTGTGCCAGTCTTCCTCCACTTTATATGTGGGTCACTGCCACAGTGTGGCTGATGAGTGGTGTAGGTCCGCCCCCCACCATCTGAGCCTTCCAACCAGGCCACCAAAGCTGAGCACACCCAACATAACCACTACCCCATGGGGCCGGCCCCAGGCATTTTTTTAAATACATAAACTCTTTGTGAACAGCTGGAAATTTTCCATGGTTTCTTTTTCTGAACTTAATTCCATTTCACTTATCCCACAGTGTTTTATCCTAAAATATTTTTATCCTTGAAAGTCATTTTTTTGTCACCCATCATACTTCTCTTCAACATGTGCGCATGTTGAATTTTAAAATATTTTTCAGTTCTGTGACTCTAAAATTCCTCTTTTAAAACTCCTATGAAATATTTAAATATTTTTAAAAGATTTAAACATTTAAGTAAAATATTTTAAAATTTTAAATATTTGAAGTTTTAAAACAAATATTTCTTCAGGATCAAGATATCATTACAATTTTGTTACACAATTGATCAAAAAATAATTACAGAATTTGGTAAAATAGTAAATATAAGTAAAATTCTATTAGAAATGCATCTCTTCAGAGTGAAGGACACTTTTTTCAATTACTTCATGAATTTATGAATGAATATTATTTACTGCTAAAATTAGCCAGGATTCATTGTCAATTCTATTCCTGTTTTTGATTTTAATAAATGTAAGCTCCGAAAACCTTTATTCGCATAATCAGAGAGGACATTGTTACAGCAATATCATTTAATTTCTCACAGTCCTTTTGAGATACAGGCCAAAAATCTTTTATATGTATATATATGAAATATGATTTAACTATGATTATATATATATATGATTAACTATGATTATGCTTATATTTAATGATCTGTTACCTCACCTCATCTCAAGTCATCTTTCCATTTTACTGGAAGTAAAGAGTTGGAAATGGAAACATCAGTATTGGTTGTTCTCCATTCTCCCTCAACTGCCCGCGTACCATTATATGGGGTCTTTGCCCTCTATTGTGATCACTGGAGCTGATTCCTACAGGCTCCCCCATAAGCTCAGCCTGGTTGGGTTCCACCACTAGGAGGCATCAGGAGGCTAAGCCTAGAAGGAAGCAGTTTCCGAAGCTTCCTGTTGCTCCCTCTCAGCTCTGAACTGTATTGTCGGGCAGGGGCTGTATCCCTCTACAGCCATAGCTTTGAGGTAGAGGCTCCTCGTGTGATCCTCCAGCCCCCTCTAAGCAACAGTAATGTTTTCTCTCCTTGCCCCTTCAGACTTCGGAGTGATAATGCTTTCCCCTGTTTCTAGTCTCTGGATACTTCACCATCCCTTGTTGGTGCCCTTAGACCTCCCCACACCTCCCTATCCCGTCCCTTCATTAAAGTCTTTTGAAGCTTCTGGGTTAGATACTGTTTCCTGTTAGACCTTGCTGGTTGGCACCAGGCGTGCTCCTGGAAACAAGATGGAATTCTGGACCAAGTTAAACACATATTTGATGACCTTGTGAATGACGTCCATCCTTGATAGTCTGTGGCATGCAATGACAACAAAATTATGCAAATTAACACCCATGGTGGCATGGGATGGAATGTCAATCAGGGACAAAACTTTGGGTAGTCAAGTGACTCCTGATGGCAACAATAGGGATTCCAAAAGATTGTGGAGTGCATGGCTATTTCTGACTGCATTACAGATCTTACGAAAGGAAAAAACTATAGCATAAGGCCTTGAATTCTCAATATAAACTACCTCCAAAAGCCAGGAAGCTTGTATGGCGTGTCAGAAGAATCCCTGGTCCTGTGCAGCTGCAGGGCTGAAAGGGCTGAGTGTCAGGCTCCAAAACTCTAACTGTGCAGGTTGTAGAGTTATGATGCCAGTAAAAGCACAACCTTGCTCGTTCTCTTATTCAAAAGTTAGGGCCCTGTTTGAAAAGGAATAGACCTCTGAGATCAGGACATTTAGTGACTGAAAGACAGAGCTGAACTCCTCATTCCTCTAGGCTGCCTGGCTGATGGGAGCAGGTTCTTCCACCCATCTGCAGAAGCTGGCTTCTCTGACATAAAAGCCTTAAAGAAATTTCTCTGGGGTCAGATACATCACAGCAGAAGGCCTCTTGTCTGGAAGAAGAACTCCCCTTTTTTTCTCACTGTCTCTAGGCCCATAAAGAGAGTTAAACCCCTCAGGGCCCAGGGAGAGAATAGTGAATTCAGTTTCTAGAGGAAATAACCTAACAGTAGCATTCCAGGAAAAAGAAGGCAGGTGATCGAGTGCTCTCAGCAGAGTGGAGTGATTTATCCCTGATGTTGTTTACAAGTGCCAGTACATGGTGATATTGAAAAAGCAGAAGATGTTTAGTTGGTTTTATTATTATTTTAAAATTCTCTACACAAAATGAACCCCCTTATTGCCTGGACCTGGGGAAGCACACTGGCTTATCCATCATCAAAGGACCAATAAGACCTTCTGATCTGTATCAGTGTTGGAGGAGGTCATCAAGCAGACATCAACACCCACTGGCCCTTGAGCTGGACCCAGGCAATCAGAGGCTCCTCTTCTCCCCTGTCCATGGAGTGTAAATTCTGCCAACCGTTCCCACAGTGGGAGCTGTTCCGAGGACACGGCCTTGGGTGAGTAAGGTATTGCTGAGGCCATTTGGACGATATAAGTGACTGAACCCAGTTAAGGCCTCTGTAATAAACTTTTAAGATTTG